GTCCACTGAACCATTTCTTCTGCTTTTGACAATTGTGAAATTACTATTTGCTAGAAGGGATTAAGGAGGGACGGCTGATTTTGTTAATAGTTGTATTTTGCATACTTAGGTTAAGGCTTCTAAGGTTTAAATCCATTGGACATCCCTCCTTTCCATGACAATTTTAAAGGTCACATCATTGATTGAGACAAAGGTCTGCTTGATCAAAGGTGTTATGCGAACATATATTTAGGATGAATTAAGCTCCTTTGCCAGATGAAATTTGCCCACCTGGTTGACCTACACTCACATTCGAGTGGGACCCATGCCGACCCCACATGAATAAAAAATGCAAAAACATACCCCCCACCCACCCCTATTGTGTGTGTATGTCAACTAGGGTGTCAAAAAAATTCTGGCACCCTAGCTTGATTGTTTTAGGATAAATACCACCGTAAATATACAGTTCGTTAACAAGTAATAAAGTGAATTTTTTTTGAATTCAAGTATCGTCCCACGGAAATTGTTTAGTTCAAATTTTCCTATCGTGACCTTAACCGAAACAAATATAAAATGAGTTGTTTATTAATATGAACTTATAACTAAAATAATAATGTGAATTCAACTATGAGTGATGGACTAAACGAAATGCAATTTATTTTAAATGTACGTCAAAGTTTTCTTATGAATAATGATTGCACTAGGATCACGAATCCCTATATAATATTCATTTTAAACATAGTTCTATACTTTGACAAAACGATTGAAATATTGACAAATCAATACTCCTAAATTATTTAACAGTCTCTCTCGAGTAAAGTCAAACATATTCTCATATATGATCCGACTATATCTCTATGACGAATGCGGACATATAAGAATTCACGTGTTTTTATGAGCACTTAAAAATTCACATAAGCATAGCGGTATATTTTTATCTCATATTAGACCTATGATGATTTATACCACGTCGAACATATTTCCCTTCTTTCGAATGCATGAAATAAGTGACCACACTCGCACAATTACGTGCACAATAATTATGGAGAGAATGAGATCATATAAACCATTCAAATATCCAAAACGTGTTTTTGATGTCAAGAATTGTACAACTAAGAATTAAAAATCATACTACATAGTTCATCAATCTTCTAGTACAAAATTAACCTAACTTAGCATGATGGAAAGAAGAAAATTAGAAAAACAATGAAGGAACGTGATCACCAATTCAATTCTTGAGATTAATCTTCGCGTTGTGGTATTATTCTTCGTGTTCTTGTTCTTTTTCTCCTCTCAAAACACTTATGCCTCTCCTCTCCTCTCCTTCGTTCTAGACGACTCTAGGTTTAAATACATATCCAAAGATTTGTTTCCATAAGTATTTCACTCGAATAAGGAAACCAGAATTTTCTCATCAGAATTGAACTATGTGATCGCATAGTTCATTTCCCCGGACCGCATAGAACAAAATGTTAAGGCCTTGGAATTTTCTGAAGCAACCTATGCGACCACATAGATATTAATACTATGAGACCAAATAGTATTAAGAAACTTCCATAGCTTTGGGTTTTGATCCTCGAACTCAATTTTGCATTTCTCGGCCTCCTTTCCACTTCTTCTTCTTCTTCTTCTTCCAATGTCTCATTCCTTTGATCAATTTGTAAGTGAGAGAGATCTTTTGGCTATTTCTGACATCGAGTCTAAACCAGAGGAGGATTGGATTATGGATTCAGCGTGTATGTTTTATATGGGTCCTAATAAGGACTTGTTTACTACATATGAAACTGTTTCCAAATGTGTCGTGATTATGAGAGACACCACACCTTGTCGGGTTGCTGGAATTGGTACGATCTGATTGAAGCTATTGGATTGGACAATTAGAACACTTGATCAGGTTCGACATGTTCCGGATTTGAAGAAGAATCTCATCTCGTTGTCTATTCTTGATTCAAATGTTTATGAGTTTTTCGGTGGAGGTGGAGCTTTGAAATTTGTAAGGGTGCCCAAGTTGTATTAAAGTGACAAAAAATGTCTTAGTTATACATCTTGTAAGGTCGTGTAGAGTCTAGAAGAATCAATTAGCACATGTTCAGTACCGTGGTGGACATTCAGTTTGGTACAATACATTTAGAAGTTCGTAAAGGGTTGGATTTGAAGAATACTACTCAGTGGAGTTCAGGAGATATGGATAATGCCGCTTTGCCACCATTACCCGCGGTGCCATTGTATTTAATTTCTATGTACGGACCCAATGCAAAAAGGTATGTTGACACTGATTTTATTGTGCATACTTTCAGCGTAGTAGAAGGATTACAATCTAGCAAAAAGACTTCTTTAAAAGCATATGGTTTTGATTCTGTTTTGAGGTGTGTTATAGCTTATTTTTGTAAATTATAAAATCATTATGATTTTTGAGAATTCGAGATAATTCTACAATAGTTGTGTGTGAATTCATTGGAAGATGTGGAGTATTGTGTTTTGTTGAAGAAATTAATTTTTTAGTTATTGTTGAAAAAGCCAGTTCATTTCTTTGTGCAATTCGTGTCAATGTAAAGATTGTTAGAATTTGGGTGTGACCCGAATTCCTTGTTTGAAGTATTAAAAAATTCTAATTGAAGTGCACGTCAATGAGAATTCAAGTTTAGAATGTTATTGAAATCCTATGTCAAGTTGAAATTTTATTTTGGAAGCCTATTAGGAGTTGGAATTTGTTTTGGACTCGATTTTTTGGTATCTTATTTCATCAACAACTCTACTAAGAGTGTTTGGACATCCCCTACATATTCCTTATAAATATTAGACTATTCTATACAATTTTAAAGTGTGAGAAAATAAATTACTAGAATTATATGATCCATTGTAATTTCCTATTCTCTCCATTATTCTTAAGTTAATAAAATCTCTTAGAGTGTGTTTGATGCACATTTTTTAGGAGAGAATGTTAAAAAAAATACACTACACTACCAGAATATGTAGTTGAAAAAGAAGGAAAAGTTGTTGATGTGATGAAAAATATTATGTTATTGAAAAATATGTAGTTGAAAATGAGTAAAATAATGAAAATGAAAATGAGAATGTGACTCAAACATGAGCTTAATTCCTCTGCCATATTTATTCTCTTTATTATTTTTTTACTTAATCTAATATTTTATTATTTGTCATATAATTTTAACAATTTATTCCGATGGTTGATTTCATCGAGTGGTATTCAAACAATACATATTTTTTGTATTTTTAACATTGCTAATAGCTATCGAAATATATTAATATTTTTTTTTAATCAGAGATATTTTGATTGTTTCATGATAGTTGTCATGAGATCATGTTGAGAGAGCCGCCAAGTAAGAAAAAGAATACAGCAGAGTAGAAAAAAAGTGAATCGCCAGCTGCAAGTTGAGAAAAAGGTTGTGCTCCTGTCTCTGATTAGATGAGACATTCATAGGCCATTAATTTCTCTCCCTATCTCTTCAATTGGCAGGCATCAACCCATTTAAATAACTGAGTTTCCAAATATGACCTCATCTCTTGTTCCCCTTCCCAACAACCAATTTCATTCTGAACTTTGTACGATTTTATATGTACACGTAGTATGATTTTTCATTTAAATCGCAATATTTTAAGTTATTGTTTGATGCGGATTAAAATCAAAATTTTAATAGATTTTAATAAAAATTGATAAAGTGCAGGGTTGAAATATTATGAATCCCATAAAATGTATAGTTAAAATTAATTGTTGAAATCTAGATTATAATTTCCATCAAATAGTGATTGTGCCTAGTTCGCAAGATAGTGGGAACAACCTGCCTAGTTCACGGATTGTGCATTTATTTATGGGGTCAACCTAGTCCCTCATGTATTATTTATCGTAAGGAGTTGAGATTTGCTATTCAATTTTTGTGGTCAATTTGTTATTGACAAGTCATTTGATATTAAAATATCACATATTTTTTTAACATAAGGAATAGTTAGAAAAAAGTTGGATATGTTAATTTAAAATGATGTGTCAATTATTAATGAAATGGATAGCAAATTAGACTGTAGATTTCAACTAATAAATAGCCCACAATCACTTGCAGGCAGTGGTTCATTAATAACAAATTTACAGTCAAGAGAAGTTAATGTTTTGATACAAATAATTTTTAGAGGTTACAAGAAATTAATTAATCAAACGAAACTACATGATTTTGCAGACGGGGCTCAGTACTTGGGGGACACTCGAGCAATTATTGTTGGGTACCATACAAAATTTGGTCCTACCATTTTTGAACCAGTTTGACCACAAATTGTGCGACCCACCCATGATTTTTTGTTTTGAGTGAATCAGAAATACCATGTGAAATAGAACCAAGTTTATCAGTTTCCACTTTTGTAGAGCTATATTCTGGATTTGATATTTTCATTTCTTCAAATAAAAGGTCCGACTCCATGCTTAAACGTACATTAATCTTATAGAGCAAAGGGAATAGTAGGTTCCTGGTATTTGACAACAAAATCGTATAAAAAGCAAATCAATATTCACGGTAAGATCGCCCTCTTCCGGCGGGTGGGTGCAATCACAGAAACCCTGAACCAGTAATTTGTTAAGAATAGCCACACTTGTAATTTTGATTTTGTCCTAATTTTTGTTGTAAAAGGGAGTCGTCGTTAGAAAGTTGTCTCATCATCAAAAAAGGAGGTTATAGAAAAATATATCTTTCTTTCGTAAACTTCTTTCTATCATAGTAAATTACAACAACGAGAATGAGTTAAATATCTATATAGATTGTGTGTTCTTTTTATTTCTTGATTTTATTACTCTCAACAAAATCAACTTCAATTTAGTAACTAGTTCCATTCAGTAAAGGTGGTACAAAATTGGCGACGCTCAACACACTTCATCGCTGGTTACTGACGAACTGCATGACTAACATAACACGTTTTTGGAAATTTCCGATAACATATTAATACTATACTAGTACTAGTAAACTATTGAACTTGATTTGAGGCGCCTTTTTCAAAATCAATAGTCTCTTAGCACGGGTTCAAGAGAGAGGAGATCTATGAGGAGCTCTCTTTCTCCGGTTGCTCAAGGAGAGCATAATACCAGGAAGGAACCCGCCTTTTCCCTTCCTTTTCGCAGCGTCTTTTTCCTTGAAGGTTGCAGAATTGCCTATGTCATAACTAGAGTGCGACGACCCACTATATTCTTCCAATATTGGGTCCTCTAAGAAGGAGTCGGGAGTCATTTGAGCGTCTTCTAAGGCATCAATGTGAAGCCCCTCGAGAGTGAAATCAGATTCATCAAACCTAAACAGTATGCTTGACAAATCTTCCCCGTGACAAGTCATGTGATCCACCTGCATACATTTCAATAATTTTAATATAAGATAATGTAAAAGACAAATGGCTTGAGAGAATTTATAATCGAGTCCCAATTGAGAGCGTCGAGGGGTGAAATGGAAGTGTAAGAGGACCTTGCATGAGAGAGAACAGAAGTTAAATGGCTCTTGAAGAATTCTGTCACATGTGAAACAAGTATTGCCAGAACCCTTGCAAGATCTAGATTGAGCTCTCTGATTCAAGAATATAACTTTTGCACTATTTATCGTGTAGGGCTGCATAAACAAATATAAACCTCTAATTAATAGTATTACATATTTGATATTATGAAAAAAAAAATTATGACTATGTCATGACATTACTTTCATCTTAACAAATTTAGATCGAGTACTACCTGAATATGACAACAGTCGATGAGCTTTTCAAGATCGTCCAATCTAATAACATCGTGATAAACGTACTTCCTAACCTGTACGACAGCATCGTATTAAGGTTAATAATATATAAAGTAAAGAATTCAAGAGCATTTTTATATTTAATCATTTTGATGGAAATTGATAGTGCTTGTGTGTAAATTGTAATATAAGAAATTCAAAATTCTGAAAATAGTGAAAATTCTATCAAGGGATATTGAATTCTTGTAAAACGCAAATAATAAAACCTAATTAATCATCGAAGTATGTTGTCTAACGATCTTTCTCGTGTTCAAGTCATTATTTATATTTATTGTCCATTCTGAAAGACTTTGAATCCATCTTACCCTCACGAATTACTGTCGCATCCCTCAAAATTCGAACCCAAAACACCTGTTATATAAGAATTTTAAGTTGAATCCTAATATTAATTGCATCTCTCAAGATTCGAACTCAAAATCCCTACCTTTTGAAAGATTTAATTTGAATTCTGATATTAATTGGACAGACAAAAATTCTTGAAGAGTAAAATGAACTCAGCCTCTTTCAAAACGATTTTGACATAGAGGCCAAATCGTTAGAGTGTTGACTCGTGAGAAATCCTACGTAGTTAGCACTTCAATAGTGTCAGGTCAATAAAATGGATTTCGTATTATATATTAAATTGGACATATTATGATTCATTTCTAACGAGAGAATGGTAGCAACTTGCAAATCGAGACAAGTTACAAATAAAAGTTAACCGACTTGTACAAAAATGGTTGACGAAATATGTGTTGGGTCCAGATCTTGCAAATACATATTTTGTTGGCAATTTTGTAATTCAATTTTGTACAAATAGCATTAGCATGGCTCTACAAATAAACTGAGGGTGGAGAGTGAATAATGAAATGGTTGGCCAGTACTAATTAACTGGTACTCTGAACAAAGACAAAATAGAGCAGCAGCAGCCGCCTGCAGCATTTGACGATTGGGTCAAACTGTGCTTGAAAGCAACAACTGAAGAACAACCATTTACAAGCTAAAATTCATCACTAACGATTCTTCCACAAATGTCAATAAAAACGACTCTAAACCTTTTATTCAATTGTTATCGAGCCACGATTTTCATCTACGAGTCGAAAATTAAATATAGTAAAAGAAATTCTATATGAAAAGTAAAACAGAAATATTGAAAAATGTGAAGAAGGTGATAGAGTGAACCTGGAGTAAAGGATGAGAGGGAGAATGAGAAGGGAGGCAGTGAGGGCAAAAGCTTCGGCAACAATTCAAGCAGAAAATGTTCTTTTCGTTCTTCCTGCGATTCTGGTGAATCCCGCACTGCTCGAAGAATTTCTCCTCCATCAGCCCTTTTAGCCATGCAGGCTTCATCCACACAATCTATTCAATTCCCAAAAAGCTTCAGACAATTCCCCAGCTGAGGCCTGCGTTCAGAGTATTTGTAGAGGAGAGTGGGTTTTAAAGGCGGGAAGGTTGTGCCCAAACTATGCCCTTGTTTGGTTTGAATTAAAATCAGATTAAAATTTCAAGTCAAAGTCAACAATTAATTTTAACCATACATTTTATGAGATTCATCACTTTTCAATCACACATTCACCAACTTCTATCCAAATTTACTCAAAATCTGATTTAAATTTCTACCAAACTTTGGGTTATGTGTACTTTCCTTTTATTTTTATTTTTTTGAGTAGCAGACAATTGCAGCTAGTTCATTGTGTGATTCTGACACTGTACAAGGGACAGAAAACGTATCTTCTCTCACCAATGGATTCAACATTGGAAATGTTTGGTTAAGCTAAAAATTGGAATTAAAATCTAAATCACATTCAATAATTAGTTTTAACAGTAAGTTCACAACTTTTATCAAATTTACTAAAAACTCGATTTTTATTGAAATCAAACGAGGGTTAATTATCAACTCTTTTTTAAGGACTTTAGCAATTCTATTGTTAGAGATCAATTGTTTTAAACCAAAATGGTTCGATCTGACATATTGGCATGTTCATGGTCAGGGTCGATCGCCCGAACCATAGTTTTGGGCAAGTCAATCCAGTACAACTACCTACTTTGACACATTTATTCAGAGTGTGTTTAATTCACATTAAAATGAAAAGAATGCATTTTTTTATGATGTGATGGTAAATAGGTGGTTGAAAAAGAAGGAATGTTATTAATGTGATGAAAAATATTATTTTATTGAAAAATGTGTAGTTGAAAATGAATAGAAAAATAAAAATGAGAATGAGAATGCGGTCCAAACAGGGACTCAGACATATAACCTAAATTGCTTGACGAGTATGATATTGATTTTTGATGAATAATTGTTACATAAATGACGTTTAGAATGATGCATGCTACACACACAATAATAATAAAATAGATCAAATTAAAATATTGAAATAAGATATAATTGTTTCGTTTGATTTTATTGAAGGAATAGTTGAAATAAATTAATTATACATTTTGCACATGTGATGATGGAAAATAGGGGGTGTGATCGTCCATGTGAGGTGATCCGACATGCAAGATATCAAAAAAGTTGGAGGAAGTGGTTTGAACTTGAAATTCAAACCTACAACTCTCATTAACCCTCCTTAACTCCCATACAACCTCCCATTCTCATCTTGAACAAAAAGGAGAAAGTATGGTAAGAATGGTGTAAAACTCGTATGAAAAAATATACTAAAATTGGAAAAGCCCAAGAATCACTATTTTGGCATGAAAATTCACAAATTTTGTCCCCTTCCATTGTGATTTAGATTGAAACCATTGAAGTGCTAAAAAAATTAAGAATTCAGACATGGACTAGCAAGGTGATTCAACCACAAAAATCTTGGGAATTTTCATCTTTTCAAGTAAGAATTCTTGAATTGTAAGTATGTTCAAGCGTGTATTGAATTCTTTCATTGGTGAGCCTTTTGAATTCCTTGCAGCATTTCATATTTAAATGTGTCATTACATGATTGAATTAAATTATGAATCTTGTTTGTTAAATCAAGAAACCTAATCTGGTCTTTAATGACATCTATATATATATATATATGTTTAAAATTAACGAAATTCTGGAATTACGTATATGATATGCTATAAATTTCAACTACAAAATTTGATTAATTTTTTTATTGCATTTGGGAGAAAATTGGAACCCTAGTTGATTTTACGCAAATTTTATAAATTTACTTCTTTTCATACGTTGATTTGAAAGTCTAAGATTGACTAATCAAGAGGCGGGTGAATTGGTTATTAAATCTTTTTCGTTAATAACTCAAAATTTTAATTATAATGAACACACAAATGATAATGAATAATCTAAACACAAGTAAACACGTAAATGGAGCAAAGTAAATTTGCACAAAGTAGAAGCGTTAAGTAAAAGGGATAGAGAGTACAAACGATATGATATAGAGGTTCGATCCAATTTAATGATCTACGTCCCCCGTTACCAAACTCTCCGGTACGAGCAAGACCTTTTTCACTATATTGATTGACTTATGGTGTAATCCAACCCTTTACAACGCTTCCAGTGACTTACAAACAAAGAGCATCGATCATTTTACAATATTGAGATTTACAAGACCTCAACACGACCATAAATTGATGTGTGATCATATTTTGACGATATTTTATCCCTTTGACGTCTTCCTTTATCCAATTGACTCCTAGTACTTTCGAATCTTCATCGTGAGGTTCTACACAACTTTTGAGCATTTGCACTTCAATCCTCAAACTCTGGATCTTGCCTTTTTTCGCCAATTTTGCATTCTTTTCTTCAATTCTTCATCATCCATCGAGTTTCACCTAATAACACATTATATCATAAATTAGGCTATAATCTCATTAAAAAAATCACAAAATGTCATAATTTGGAGCCCGAATAAGTGTATAAAATGCATTTATCAAACATCCCAAACTTAAACATTTGTTTGTCCTCAAACAAAATCGTAACCTAACTTAATAAACAACGAACATGCAATGCTAATTACCCAATTTGTGGCTAGTCAATCAAACAATGCAAAATGATTTAACTAGCTAACCTGACTTTTTATCTCAAAATTGAAATCATAATATCAAATTTATACTCAGCTTCAAAATCACGCTACATAAATTAAAATTTACTTTTCCAATGAAAAATTGACGTGTTTGTGTGTGAAGAATTAAGAATAGAATTATGAATTCATAAGTTGTTTCAATTTCCGACCCTCAATAGTCAAATATGTTCTTTCATCACTCGTAAGATTCACACACCTCCAAACTTATTCTTTTCGCTTTTTTCAAGTGTATGAACTATGGTTGAATTTTATACTGTTCTCACCTCTCTAGTTTAGGTAAATCATACTAATTGCAAGTCAATATGTCAATAAACAAGGATTCTCTATTAAATTTGATTGCTTCAATCTCTAAAACTTAATTAGGCTAATAATCTCTTATTAAAAGTTGAATTTCCTTAAGTGTATGGGACATAACCAAGGCATTTTGTGCGTCTTCTGTTTTATGCACCTTCTTTTTCTGATTCTTTTTTTCTCAATCTTTTTTTTATTTCAAAATTTTTTTTCTTTATTTGAGGTATTCTATCCTTAAACTTTCTAAATGACCCATATAACAAGCTTTCGGTTGATGACTCCCAAATCAGATGACCATAGGCACCAGATTTTAAAAATCCTTGCAGGCTTAATTGCTCGAATCATAAAGGGTACGAAAAAAAAATTTCAAATAAAATATTTTTTTATGCCTTGATTAGTGCAATGTCTCTCATTAAACACATATCCAAGTAAACCAACCTTTAATTTAAGATTTTCACCAAATTGCATCCTATTGACCTTAGAAAATCCACACAAGATTTTTAATTTCACACATGGGATCTGCATTTGTCTCAATATCTCCCTACAACAGTGAATTCCTCCAAACTATTCTAAATTTGGTCCAAGAATGTAGAATATATTGGTTTTAGGTTTAACATCTATGGTCCACTATTTCAACCTATCCAATTATGAAATCAACTTATTTCTACACAATACTTAACTTAATTCATGTGCTCAATATATATTAAATTTCACATAGAAAAGCAAAAATTAATCTAGGCACGGAACTTATTCACCATTCATAGATCAATTTATAATTCAATATATTCATCATTGCCAACCAGGTCAACTAACTCACACAAACACATAAAAAGAAAATATTTTTGAAAATTTTCAAATTTTTTTTTAATATTAAAGCACACAAAAACACAAAAACAAAATGGACATTGTTTCAATGTCTTTAATCCTAAATCCGCATATAAAGGGGTGCGAAGAATGTGAAGAAAAGACTCCCCTGATATGGCGTGTAATTCTATGGCTAGCTTTCATATTGCTCAGTTGGCTCCTCGGTCAATGTTNGCTAGCTTTCATATTGCTCAGTTGGCTCCTCGGTCAATGTTGGTTTAACTGTTCCGCGACGTCATGTTCCTGAAAAATCAAATAAGGCATTAAGATCAAATAACTGGAACATGTGTTACTTAACTCTAATATCTAACAACTCAACTAACTTATCAAAGATTTAAGGGGAAACGGGTAAGGTTGATGAGTTCCAAATAAACTTAAAATAAATTAAACTATCCAAAAACTCAAAAAACAGAATAAATAAAAAAGAATAAAACTTGGGTTGCCTCTCAAGAAGCGCTTATTTAACGTCATTAGCTTGACGTTGGCAATCCGCATCCTGGAACTTTGAAAAAAGATTTTGATTCCTTGCTCATTTTTCTTCTTTTGATTTTGCTCCACTCTTTGTTATTTCTCCAAACTTCAACATTGTCATTTTCAATGTAATATGATTTTTCCATTCCATCCAATTCAAACTCAACAACGTAGACTTCAACTTCCTCATCGGACTTAATCACAAAATCAATTTCTATACAATCAATGAATTTGAACGAATGTACATTGCTTTCATCTTCATTGATTTCTACTTCTTCATTCGGTTCATTTGTGATCAAGTTGTCATTCATTTTAAACTCCTCTACAATCATTGAAATTTCTTCGGGTTGAATGATCGGTCCACAATCTAGATCCACAGACAATGATAAGTCGGTCTCGTTGACTCCTTCGAATGGATTGTACCCCCATTTTTGAAATCTTCTCCAGTACATGAAATCTCCCACGAGCATATCGTTTTCATCCAACTTTGTAAGTTCTTTAAAGTACCGTGCAAGTACCTTCTCGTTCAATAGGGGAGAACCATCTCCCTCAAGTTTGATGTTTTCATCCCAATCGTCGGTACAAAATCTCCCACGAGCATGTACTTTTCATCAGATTTTTCAATTGCTTGTATTCTATACATCAAATATTTTTGAAATCTAAGAAGTTTCGGCGTGTACAAACTAGAGAACAAAC